AAACAGGCTGGGTGACCACAGTGAGGTATCGACGTTTCATTTACCTAAAACGGGAACACCTAGAACTGTGGGTGCCACCCAGGAAGTAGGTGCTGAAAAAATTTGTTAGAGTGACTCATACATTATACAAAAGAACATTAACAGATGTTTTTATCCAAAGCGACATCCGTTTTTGGGAACGCAGGCTCAGGCATCCATTGGAGCAATTAGGTTAAGGGCCTTGCTCACCGGCCCAACGGAAAAATCACATTAACGACTCTGGGATTTGATACAGCGACCTCCTGATCATGACCACAGCATCCAAACCCGCCAAGCAGACACACTGGCTAAAACCCTACTGGCTAACCCACCAGAGCAAGTTCCTGATAGTTAAAGTGCACCCAGAATGGTAATCCAGACCACATCCGCTTACCGGGACAGGAACCAGGGGAACCAACAGCGACTGCCCCAATATGTAGAGATAAAAATATAGAAATCTAATGCGCGTATGTGTGTCAGGAGAGCGCAGTAATTATCACCGAGCCTGCTTTTACACCGAGCTTCTGCCAGGGCTGACATCATTCATTGAGAAAAGTGAAAAGGTATCAGATATTCCGCGGACATGAGTGAGCTAGGTGCAAGGAACTGTTTTTCTGCGAGTGACAGGTGGCGGGTGGAAACCCCCCCCCCACTGCCCAATCAGGAAATCTGATGCCATTGGAAATCACACAAAATTTTCACAGAGTGGGGACAAAATGTGCCAGTTGATCACCTGCCCCTCGAAGAGTCTCTGCACAGCCCTGCCTCACGCGTGCGGAACCTCCATGACGGTGCTCTAACACACATCACGCCCGTGGTGCTCATGCTGCTGCAGCCAAACACCTGCAGGTCTGCTCCCCTGGAACCTGCCGCTGAAACAGCCCCCAAAAACACTCTCAAGTGTGTCAGAGGGTGAAATCAGAGCACAGAAGGTTCACCCAAGGAGATCCTTGGAAAATAACCCTCAGTGATTAACAGGAGGGACAGCGTCTCCCAGAGGTGTGACGGTCCTCTTTGTTGCTAAGCAACGCAGAACACCTCCCTCCGCTGCCTGGGAGGGGGCTTCCGCACCCCCAATCACGAACTACCCACCTGCCGTAAAACACTTTAATAAAACACCTAAGGAGTCAAGAGTATCACAAGTGTGTTTATTTGTTAGAGTAACTCATACATTCTACAAAGTACACAACCAGCAGGGGGATGGGTTATGCTGCTGTACCAGCAATCAGAAGGTCATTGGTTCACATCCCAGCATTGACAAAGCATTTCACCATCAGGCCCTTGAGCACGGCCCTGCATCCCCCCTAGTGACTGTCTGCTCTCGCCTTCTGAAATTTATGATGCTTTGGATAAAAGTGCCTGCCTAGTAAAAGAAATGTAAATAATGCAAAAATACCACCAGAAGGGCATTCCACAAAGAGGGATTTCTCAGTTAGCTGGGTTAACTTAAGCTAGAAGGAATGATTGTCCAATAGGAATGCTCCTTACCTAAATTCTTATTGGACAGTCATTGCTTCTAGCTTAAGTTAACCCAGCTAACTGAGAAATCCCATTTTGTGGAACATCCCCCTGCAGGATTTCGTTTGTTTGATTCAGGCACATATTTGGTAGAACAAGATGTTGGACATTTTCAGTACAATAACTATGACAACAGATATTGTGATTTAACTTGAGTTAAAGATAAGCCTGAATTTAATAACATCAATGTTTGCATACAACAGAGAGTATGCCTGTTGCTAAGGTCTCCTTAAGCAACATGTGAGATCCTACGGGTTAGTTTTCATCCCATGAGAAAAAAAATACACATTTATAAATGTACAGCGAGAAGCCTGAGACTGTGGCTGTGCTGGACGTTTTGTTCTGACTGTGTGAGGAATTCAGTGGGCCGTGTGCAGCCCCACCTCTGAGCACAGCTCCTGAACCTCACTCAGTGCGTGATTACTCAGACAGCCATCACCCACACGGAGCAAACAGGCCTCGTACACGCAAGCGTGCGATGTGGCGTGAGTCAATCATGCTGACCTGGGCTGAATGAAAGCGGAGAGGCAGCATGATTTCTGGGAAGGCAGAGAGAGAGAGAGAGAGAGAGAGAGACAGAGAGACAGAGAGAGAGAAAGTAAACTGAGGAAGCTGGAGAGACAGAGTCAACCTGGGAAGGCAGAGAGAAATAAAATGTTTTATTTGCCATTTGCACAAATATGTTAGAAGGCTTCCTGTTGCATGATCCATCCTGCTTTCCTTTGAGACTGACACACACATACATATAGAGTTCAGAGCAAAGCTGGTGGTTTGAGCACAGGGACAGTCATTTATCTGGCACTCCAGGGCCATTTCTGGGCATGTGGTAGCCAGAGTAGGCCTGAGGGGGCAGGCAGGCGGAGAAAGAGCAGCCCCGGGGGTTCGGGGGGTCCGAGACGACACTCTGCTCGTGAATGGAGCCATTCAAGAGGAACGCCCACTGGATGCCTGCAGACGATGAGGAGCCTCACCGCCCAATCTGTCAGTCTCAGCCCCTGAACGACCCTTGTTTTGGTCATGTGGGAGACCAGCTCCCAAGTTCACCTACAGGGCAGCCAAGATGGACAGTAAACAAAGGGCAACCAATATGAAAACTCTGGGTTTAGACATGGGGGAGGGGGGGGCTCATTCAGAGTGACAGGGGCACCCCTATGTTGGAAAGCAGGCGCTGAATGTGACAGGCTAGCACAGACTTGTCAGGAAGCATCTGAGGATTTCTTAAAGGACACAGCACATTAATGGGCTGCTTGATAGGACAGTGATGACATCAGAGGGCGATAACCTTTTTTTTGTGGTCTTCATTAGTACCCGTGGCTCTGTATCTCTGTCAGTTTTGTAGATTTCAGTGACAAAAGGGAGTGGGTTTGCACATGTCCAGGACTGCCTCTATTTTGTTGGGGTATTTGGCGTCTGTAAATTTCCCAGGTTGTGTGTCTGAAGAATTGGCATCCCGTCCAGGGTGGAGTCGCGTACCCTAAGCTGCTGGAATAGATTCCAGGCCCCTGGCACACTGACTGAGACACGCAGTTAGAGCTTGGATGGATGATGGAGACAGCCAACCAAATTTGAGTGTGATATACTGCCCTCAAGTGAGCAAGCCAGGTACTGACATTCACACTGCAAGAAACATAAAAATACCAAGCCTGTAACTACTTTATATCTATATACCTTTATACCTATACTTAGTGGTTTTCTCTGATGGAAAAAAGACCAAAATGGTGGACTTGTGAAAAAGTAAGGGGGAAAAAAGTATTTCTGGGGTTCCATGAAACAAAGACTGTACGATGATTTTCCCAGAAACAGACTGCCCACCAAGGCACCATGAATTCTCCGACTCCCCCCCTCCCCAACAAACAGGCAGACAAAGGTGGGGAGCTGAAGTGACCGGGGAGGTGTCACAGAAATTAGGGCATTCGGCATTAAGGACACCAAGTCCAAGTGCGTGTCTGCTATAACTCAGAAGGTCAGAATATCAAGTTAGGCAGCTTGTGTCTCTGTACGGCATGTGAGAAATTACACAGCGTCCCGCACCAGCACAGCATACGAGAGTATGCGAGAAAGTACGTCAACTTGACTTTCTGACCTGATATGCCAGGCTTCAGGGGCTGTCCATTTCTGCCCCCATGTGGTAGTTCCGTGTCATGACAGCTAATTTTCTCGTCTCGCGTTGCTGTAACTGGTCTCACTTGCGCTACAAGCAGTCAAAATGTCAATGTAAAATAGATAAGGGGAACTAAGTAAATACAGTCCATGCCCTATTTCACACTTTTCAGTAATATGCAGTGAGATGCATGGAGAAGTTTGATTAGAAATTCATAATGTGGCATACAGGGACAGGGGCCGATGAATTTATTAGGGGGCCCTAGGCTGACATCAGCACAAAAACGTAGGTGTTGCCTATTTAAATAACCATTGCGTTTTTCCCAAGGCAGGGCGGGGCCCTGATGTTTGCCGGAGCCTGAGGCTATAGCCTAAGATAGCCTATTCATTAATCCACCCCGGTAGAGGCGGTAACACCTGGCGTGGCGTTTTCAGGATGTTAGGCAGTGAAACAGAACTAGTGTTAGCCAAACCAGTTTTAAGCTTATTCTCACAATGCATCAGACACCTGTCTGTCCTCCTGTTCATGCCTGATTAGGTCAACTTTCCATATATGGAGGGAGACAGAGGCGTTGGGACACAACAGGCGAGGCAGCCAATTGCCTGCGGCCACTGAGCTGAGGCGATAACATAGCCCATCGCAATGACAAATCTGCTTTATTTGTGTATTCTGTTTTTCACAGTAAATAAAGGAATTGTGTTTGTTAAATTCTCTTTGTTGATATTATTCATTTAGACTTCACGGCAAAATAATGGTGATAATTTTTTCCGTGTCAGGCAGGGTGTGTTGGGGACCCGATGGCATTTTATTTGCCCAGGGGCCCCCAGTGCCCCCAGCGTCTCTAGAATCACCTCTGGATGGAGGTGTATCTTCTCTAGGGAAAATTCTGGGAAGATGATCCTCTTCACTATCCGAGATCAGACAGTGAAAATGAGCTACTTCACAGGGGTCATAACCATAAAACTGCAAAACCCGGAGCCCAATACCCTGTTTAGAATGTCAGCGGCCTGACTGTATGTAACTTCACTCCTGACATAGATGGACATGACCAGGGCGGCCAGCTCCCACGCACCTGGAGTGACACTCACGCTCTCAGCCTCACGCAAGAAATCTTAGGCAAATCTATATTATTGCATTACTAACTGAAAATTAGCTACATCAAACATGTTGGAATAGTGTGCAAACCCTACAAACTATTTACAAGGTAATAAGACTGTGACATAGATATAAAAGTGCGTGCAGACTCGTTAGCAATTGAACATCTCACTCCAGCCAGTTGACCAAAGTTGGTAATCCTAGATATGACCCCCCCCCCCAAAAAAAAACTGTCCTACTTGTTTTAGTTTATGGGTATAACTGGAGACAGGAGTGAAATCCCGTTGGCACTTTTTAAAATATGCATCGGTTTTCAAGGTCGATCTGTTAAATTGTAACTAAATGCGAGTAACCAAAGGGAAGCCGAAGAAATATTACTTTACCGTGCGGTCCTCTGACTCTGAACAAAGTCACAGTTGGACGGGGAAAACACGAGGAAACATGACACTGGGAGTCAGACATTTGTGAACGATAAGAAGGGCCCGGCACGACTTCGGTGTCCATTTTACTGGGGTGAAAAGCGCTTGGATCCACTAAGCCCAGCACATACTGCTCTGCACATTTAAGATAAGGATATATAGCGGCACTTTATACAAGACATACTGCGCCTTAGCACACTATACCGACACATTGTGAATTACTTTTAAGAAAATGACGATGCATGTTCCCTTTAGTACTCGAGATTCCTTTTAGTTGCGTTGCCAGAGTGAGAAAACCGTCGATCGAAAGAAAAACTTCCTGAAGGCTGGGAAACTGGGAAGCGACGCCTCCTTCACGCTTGGCAGGGTTTCCGACCGCGACCGAAGACTGCCGACCGGCGCTTCGCCCCGCCGGGGGACGCAGAGGAGCGCCGGGGAGTGTACGGAGGAGGAGGAGGAGGAGGGGAGAGGCGCGCTCCGTTTCCTGAATGTCCGCCAGCACCTGTACCTTCTTCCTTCGTATGGATACACGCTTCGCACACGGGCTTGACCAGGGTAATCGGCCGCGACTTCGGGAGCGACGTGATCGGGGGAAGTGCTTAACGCCGCAGGTAGGGACGCGCTTCGGCAGGACGAAAAACTTTGTTATTGGGGTCATTTAACTGGGCAATGGTCGCATGGTGGATATGAGTACGAGACACTAGCGGCTGCGCAAGGTGCGTGTCCCTTCCTGGGTTTGGCAGGCTGCTATCGCACTTTCACCCAGGTGGTACCGGAACACTACGCCCTGCCGTACCTGTCAAGCGGAGATCAGTACGGCAAGTACGCCGCCGCCGCCGCCCCCCCCGCCCCGAAATCCAGGGGCAAATCTTTGCGGGACACTTTCTCCTCTGATTGCTCTCCATGACAGACCTACATTTTCTTTCTCCCCTGATTATTATCCTGCGTTTTCTATCGGTCTCCCGAACTCAGTCAGCTGAAAAGGTGTCCGCGGAGTTTCTGCCAAAGTCTCATTTTTTGTGCGGCCTGTTCGGGCTGTTTAATGTTTAAAAATGACTGAAATGTCAAATATGCACCGAAATATCCCGACCATTCACCTTTTATGCGCAAGCATATTTGGCATTCTTTGTAATAGTTATATTTTGCTCAGAAAATGAACGTGTTTAATTACGATTAAAATCGTACTACAATCGTATTAACGATTATTTTGCTGATGGTGTTTATACAACTATGTACTCGGGCTGCAATTGAAAAGCAGTTATGACGTTTTAATATAGTGAATCATAAATTACAATTTAACGTTATGGTATTTTTGAAGTTTTGTAGGAGGTAAGTGATAGAAAAGCGGTAGTGGAAAAAGTATTTAAATGTTATTTGAATATTAACTCATAAGTTAGATTTAGTTATATTACAGAAGGCTAACCACAGTAACATTTATCCAGTGTAAGGTATCATAATAAATGCTTTTCAGCCTGTAATTAAATAAATTCTGCCATATGCTCAGTGTGACCAAACACCCCTATAATGGTAACATAATCTATATATATTGCTGATAATTTGTTATCAACAAACAAATCAGATTCAGCTGACGATGGCTTATTTGGTGAATAATTCAGCAGTGTGATTTCTAGTCTGAGGTTCATGCTTTGATGATATGTGATCCAAACACTCAACTGGCCAAACTCTGCCCGTTTTGCTTTTAGAGAAACAGAACCTTGGCTGTTTACTCTAATATGCTACCGGGTTGTGGACATGCTGATGATTATCGTCAACTCTCAGCCTGCAGGTAGTAAGGGGCCACTCCTAAATCCATCACTCAGCCTGTTGTTTTATTTTCAAAAGCAGGTTTCCTCATTGAAGGCCGCAAACCCACTTAGAAGATCCAAACAACCAACTTGATGTGTTTCAGTTCTAGAATAAAAGATAAGGATCGACTGAAATACACTTTCATAGGATAGCCTGGTTTCTGTTATAGTCATGTACATTATCGTAACGCAGCCGCCATCCATTTTGTCAAGTGTGTTGATAGTAATTATGATTTGATAACTACAATAAGCACAGGAATGTTTTGTGAGTAGAACTGTTGCCTCGCACATCCAGATTTATGGGTTTGACTGTCATCCCCGGATGTGTGGAGAATGCTTTTTTGCCCCCTGGTTATGTGGGTTTCCTCCGGATTTCTTCTAAAGTCAAAAAACTACTGTATGTAGCCACACTAGCGTTTTGCCATAGTGTTTGCGCCCTGTGATGGTCTGGTATCCCATCCAGGGTGTCACCTGACTCATTTCCAGGGACAGTTGGTGATTTACTTGAAACAACTGTGGTGTGGTGTTGAATATAATTTTCACAAACTATAAAGCTTTCAAATATCTGTGGAGTCCTTGCCACCACAACCAATTCAGGCAAGTCCTTAAGGAAAGACAACGTTTTATTTAACAGAACACTTTAAAACCTGTTTTTACTGGTTCACATATTTTTATGCTTTGTACTTTATCTGTCACAATGACAACTACATTTGAAACGTTTTGCTGTTTCTAAATTAATTGTGACTAACTTCCTAGGCCCATAGTGTGGGTGACAGTATTGTCTTTGCGGGAAAAAAAGCCCTTTGTGTTTCACATAATGCTTTGAAATGAGGTCTGGTCTGTTATCAGCTTCATGGCCAGTGTTGGGGAACTTTCCTTCACAAAGGTTTCAAACTCACTTCTATCACTTCTGTCGGGTCATCAGAATCACGCTTTCATTTGGATCTTTCGGTCTTTCTCGCGTCATTAAAACCTCCCGACAGGCACGCACTTAAATCTGAGGCGGAAAGCCTGAGGAAGTTTGTGACATGTTATCGGTTTTTATTTTTTCCTGTCAATTTTTCCCATGTGTGTGGAATTTGAATTAAATTTGTGGTCAGTAGTGATTTTCCGAATCAAGGCAAGAATGAGAGGACTTTGTATTAATTCTAGCACTGCCGTTTGTCCTTCTGATCCTGATTGTAAACCCACCAACGTGGAGCATAGAGCTCAATGTAAACCTCCATAACATACCCTCCGCTGTGAAAAAGCCTTGGTGACAGTCAGATGTCCACTAAATGGACTCCTTCAGAGCACCTTGACCACCGTCACACGGCTATCTTTGTAACCCATCATTGAGACAGTTGGTACAATCTGTTGAATAGCCCCCCAGGTCAGAAGGATATCCATAATGGAGTTTCGCTGTAGACTCTCCCAAACAAGACAGCTTCCGAATGTTAGGGTCACCGTCAGAGTGCTTGGTAACACCAGTAGCAGGGGCGATTCTAGGATTTTTTCAAGTGGGGCAATAATGCATACAGTTTCCAACTTTATCATTAGCCAATGATCTGTTTTGAATTGTTGAGTGATGGGCACTGCAGGGGCCAATCAGCTACCAGCCAGTGCCCCAGTGGACCCACCTCTCTATATGCTCCTGAGCAGTACCTGTTGCTAGGATGGATTTATGTTTTGAGGGCATCTCAAAATTCTCTGTAATTCGTTTTAGGATCCTTCATTTCTTCACTCTCCCTTAGTTAGACTTATATCCGGATTTTTTTAAGCTACATGATGCTATGATTATTACAGTTTCAAACTACTTAACATATCATCAATAGCTCACTAGGGAAATATAAAAAACAGCACAAATTAGATGGAGCCCCAAAGAGCAGGACCCACAGCATAGAGGGTGGATGAAGCTCAGCTCAACTTGACACATTCTGTATGTGGCTGGTAGGTTTGGGTTTAAGTCCCACCACAGACACTGAAAAGCTTCAAAAAGGCATTTAACCTGTGAATGTCTCTCTGGGTGAACTTTAGCAATGGAATTAATTGGGCTAATTGAATATTAATTAAACAGCCCGATTGTGCTGCATATGGCTGCTGGTGATCAGATACCATTAGCCTGAGAGTCTGTATGAGTGTGCCAGCAGAAACAGCAGCGTGGGGTGGGGTGGGGTTGGGTGGGGGTGGGGGTTGGGGGGCAAATCCAAGGCATGTCCAGACTCAGACCTGCTTGTAGAACAGCTTCCTCACCAGGGAGGTAAGAGGTGTCCCTTCAGTAACGGGTAATTTATTGGTCCCCAGAGGGGAATCAAGGTGTCAAATTGTTAGAAAAAACAGAGACAGAGAGAAATTAAATCAATGAATTCTGCTGACATAAATGCGTAAATGTAAAGTAAAATTTATAGATGCAAATGTGAATTAGTAAAATGTACAGATGATAAATGTGTAAATGTGCTCAAAAGAGTAGCACTGCCCCGCCCACTGGAATTTGATAGGTCGTCCCATGTGCCCCCCCCCCCCCCCCCCCCACCCCGCCTCTGAGTGATTTTGATTATGGAATGCAGAACGTGGTTTTGCCAAACGCGCATATGTGACGCAACTATAGCTTTAGTGGTTCCTAGAATTGCATGAATATAAGATATTACAGCAGCTCAGATTCAGACAGCAGGAACAGAGACGGACAGAAATTAAATAAAATATAACATACCAGCATTAATGTGCATACTTAAAAATAAATTCCACAGATGTGAGTGTGAATGAGTCAAATTTACAGAGTTGAATAAATAAGGTGATTGGCCCCCAACCATGGAAGTCAGAACACAGGTTTCTCAGATGCATGTATATGACGGAACTTTAAGTTTTAGTTATTCCCAGAAGTGCCTGAATATCCATGAATCATAGTCATAATCATTGTGTAATTTAATAACAGACTTTTTTCTTCAGTACTTGGTAGGAAGGGGTTGGTAGCAGGCTTTTTTCCCCCCTCTTCAGATGCCCCTCCCCCATTTCACTGTTGCCCTCCATCTACCCCACTCCCCCCCCCCGGGCCACTGTCCCGAAGTCTCCCCTGGAGGTGCCGCTGCTGCACAGTTGCACAAGTTGTTGAATTTGACAGGAACAAATACTGCACACAGATAATACATAATGGCTGGCGGACTCAGCTTAGGGTCTCCTTGTAAGTCCTGACGGCAGCAGGAATGAAGAAGGTGTGGAGGCTTCCCCTCGTACACCTTGGAGCCAGAAGACGTCCACTGCAGGCAACTCCTCTGTGCTAAAACCGTCCCGTGGAGAGGGTGGGAGGAGCCGCTGATCGTCTCTGAAGGAGGTTTTGTTTCCTCAGTGAGCCTCTCCTCACATTTGATTTGTTGTTGTTGGGTTTTTTTAAGGCAGGTTCATGCTCGGTTCCTGAAGTGTGGAAAACATTGTTTTTTTTGTTTTTTTTTTACACATCACAGATCTAAATAGTTGCTGGATGAAGGTGTTTCAGATTAACCTGTTGAGGATATCCAGTAGAGCCTTTGCAGTGGGAGGAGCCTAAGAAGTCATGTGACGATGCGGGCAGAGTTGGCAAACGGCTGACTAAATATGGCATTGCATGTGCATGTTTGTATATATAGTCAGGGGATTATATTTGTGTATACACCCTGTTCTGCTGTCATACTTCCATATCTGCTAATAGTCTGCAATAGAACTTCTCCTCGGATCAGTTCTGACTAGCTTTAAGGTTCCCAAACCTATCCGCTTCCTGCTCCTGGTTCTTTCATGGACTCCGTTACTGTTCACAATCGCTAATGAATGGACGTAGAAGGAGCAGCTTTGGAGTT